TGAGTGAGCTGTCATCAGTCTGCTATTGTTTCACCGCTGGAGCAGATGTAGACAAGAATGACTCCTAAGCGATTGAGGTGTTCTGTTGTTGGATGTAATAATGAACATAGGAGTCGTCGTTTACTCCCGACATCTGAGCCTCTGAAGACGCAGTGGATTATGTTTGTTTCTGAAGGGAATGTGCCCCCCGATCTACATAAATGTGTCTATGTTCGTGCGAATCATTCGTGATCCAGCTAAGGAAAATGCTACAAAACGGCTTGCTCTGAAAAGAGCTGTTTTTGACAGGGTAAAAAAGGTGTTTTTTACACTACCATTAAGACATTTTAACCAAACTATGTTACAGAATTCTCATTAAGACCCTAAAGAATCAATAACTTGTGGAAAATGGGCATCCGATGACCCCTTTAAACTTATGCAACAAGTTTAATTATTAGTTTAATTATATCTAAATAAATATATATATATATATATATATACACACACACATACACATATGTAGTGTAATTTGTATTTTCTTACCTTGACATTAAATTACAGAGAACTAGTTATCGCTGCTGCATGAGTTTTTCTAAAACAAAGATTTTCAGAAAGATTCCGACAGTAATCCGACAGTAATGTCGCACCACAAAATTTTGAGTCAACGTTTTTATTAGGTGGTCACTATTGCTTTGTCTGTTATTACAGATCTTTTGATATGTTCTGAGTATCTGAGTATGAGTATTTATGCATTTTTAACCTAAATCACAGCAGCGTTCATCTGTGAAGGATGTAGGCTGTCCAACATACACAACTGCTAGCCAATCATAGCAGTGGGCATTTACTTCCAAGTCTACAATCCACCACGCCTGTTCAAACAGAGCGTTCCGATGAGGGGGGTCAAAACAGGTCTGAAAATAGCCTATTACTTCTGAATTATGATGTTATTTGATGTTAAAAATCTTGATAACATTATAAGTGTACCTCAGAGAACAGAACAAATTGAAAAGCAAAGTCAGTTTAAGCACTCCCAGGTTGCCAGCTCCACCTCTGGTTTATCTATACTCCTTCTTTGCTTTAAACACAGATATTTTAAATGACTCATGCAAAATCTATGCCGTACGCTCAGCTGTTACAGAGTACTTGCCATTCAGCCTTTAACAAAAGTGTACTTCCTGTTCCCTCATCAAAAGCCCATCTCTGAAATCATGCACCGACCGCTTCATCAGAGTATGTTCACTATCATGTATTACAGCTTTTGTGCAAGACTTGGCACTCTTTACACACACTTTCATTCTCACTTTTTCCTTTGCCATATCTCTACTTCAGGCAGACCGTCTGTGCTCTATGCCTACACTAACTAAGTGAGTTTAAAGAACAAATGCATTTTGTGTGAGCCGTCCAGCTTTTAAAATGCCCAAAAGCTTCCAATGCTTCCCTAATTGCCTCATTAGATAAAGCACAGTATTAATTTAAGTGATTTATGATAACCCTCAATATGCTTTTAAAATTGACTGTGACAGTCTGTGGGGGATAAAACCAAGTATTTAAGTGAGGTTGATTTGCCAGCGCATAACATTAAATCTGTTATGTCTTTCTTGGTGAGAGAAGCCACCATGAAGTCATTCCTTTCCCAATGTTAAACTATTTAAACCAATATTTCCCAACCTGATGGAAATTCTGACTCAATTCCATTATCCAGTTCATTTGAACAGTTTGTTCTGTTTTTGCTTTTTTTTGCTCTCATCCTCAATTTGTTTTTAACAATTATTTATACCAATACCAATATGTATATGAGTATTAATTTTAGATAATAACACAGGTAAACTTCAGTCAATCCCTTGGTTCACTCACTTTCAAACATTCATACTCGGTTCTTGACTCATTATGAACCAGACATGTCTGTACATTCCATTCAATTCGATTAATTGTGCAGCCCTATAACGTTGCATACAAAAACGGAAAATCTTGGCAACAAGCTCGTTTTCAGAGTTTGAGAATTGTAGAGAGGATTTGAAAGGATATGTTCAGAAAAGGAACTCCCAAATGGCTTAACGTCATTATTATGAGCTACATTTCAAGAAGATGTGGCAGAGGAGCAATCACTGAAAGAGCTCCTAAAAGAGACACAGCTCTGCCGCAAAATACCTAGCAGGTCTTTAGCACTAAATAAGCCACCATTTACATTGCATTATAAATAAAAAAAATTAAACAATAATCGCCTCGACTGGTAATTAGAAAGTGAGCCTATCGTCAAAAGGAACAATGTGGCCCAACGCAAAGTTCAATTCTAAGTACTTAAGAGGCTGTTCACTGCTCACTGGGAATCCTCACCTGTGTTTATACTCAATACATGTTTGATTAGTCATGCAAAATAATGGGTCGTACCTGCCGTTGCTAAGACACAGTGAGTGCTGAATGCATTTGGAAGTGCCTAAAACCCCTAAACCTCAACAGTACCCTCAAAAAGGCAGTTCCAAGCTCTACAGACTCAACTTTTCTCAAAAGACCACAAGCATGTCTTGACAAACAGCCTTTCTCCTTTAAAACAGAACACCTCTGGTTATAATTAGACATGTACACCATTCAGTATGTACACTATTGTGTGAAAAAAGCCAAATAGCCACAACTGCTACAATGAATCGAGACAGCAAATAAATAAGCAAACCAAACTGCGACAAATAGCACAAAATAGACTGTGGCTCTTCTGCTTCTGACATTTAAATTCTGACATATCGAGGAGAAACCTATAAGCCCACTGCATGCATCTAAAATGTTGTTTGTCCGTATCTAAAACCTTTAGCTCAAGGCTGTTGGGTCTGTGGAGAGCAAGAAGCCTTTCCACCCCTTATATCTCTGTGATGAGTTCATTAGACCTGTGTGCTTATTGAACTGCACTGGGTCGACTGTAATTTGACAAAAGCTTCCTGTGCTTAACCAGGCTGAAGGAGTCATGTGTAAAGGTGAAATTATTCTTCCTGTGGGGTGCTATGAACACACACACAAACTCATGTCCTGTGGAGCAAATGACCTCAAAGACCCTTGTTTTCTGCAGGACGGGTTAAAAAGGATGCCTTCTGAGCTCCCGTTAGGTGTGCCAAGGTGTAAATTAAGGGCAAACATCTGACTTGTAAACAACCGGTGGCATCATGATGGAAATATGCGATCAAAAGAGCTAGAGGGAGGAGAACGAAATGATAACAATGTCATTCATGGCTAAAGTGGGCAAGATTAAACTTTCATAAGCTTTTCTTCCTCACAGATGACTCAATTTTCTTCTGACCTCAATTATATCGTAATTATCAGCACAGCAATTCAATCATCTCAGATCTGACCTCTGTAGCAGCTAGCAAAAAGTTAGTCAGCCTTCAAATGCCAGGAATGAAACGTGAGTATTGCATTTTTTAATACAAAATTTCCTCTGAGATCACAGCAACCACACTGATGTGCTGAGGCAACGAAAAAGAGTAAAATATAAGTCGATTAGCAGTTGTGCGGAATCCTAATTACTTCTTTGCACCCCTGCCAGCCACATGGGACATTTCATAACACGGGAACTCATCACTCACTCAATCTTCACTCACTCAAGTATTTCAAAGCTCAGATATGATCAATCGTCACTCAAATCATTTTCAGGGAAAAATCCGCAGCACTATCCGCTGCGTAGAAAGTGGTAAAACACATATTAGCGGTAGCTGAAAGCTTGTATGTTTTGACTGTCAGAGTTTCAGCACATTACTTCGTAATGGTGCCAAACTGGGCCACGGTCCAGAGCGGAGACTAATAAACTTGCTGCACCCTTTATAAGGCTAAAAATAAAGGCTCTTTTCTTCTTTACCTTTCAGTGATGTCATTTTATATTATTTAGAATCTATATGCCTGTGATGCATTGCCAAGCTTCTATTATAAGCTAGAATTGACATTCTTTTAAAATGCCTTGCGGCTCAGCTGAGGACTGGCAAGGGATTGTGTCCTGTCCCTGCTTGTATTTACTGTCTACAGAATTCAATAGCACACCCACACGCTGCTGACTCACATTGGCAATGATCTCCCCCGTCGAAGGATAGTCATTAATTACCTCCACCGTTTCCCTTAAAATCTCAGTGTCAAATTATAGTTTAATGACAAGAGTTATTCTACTATATATAAACAAGACAATCAAAAAGGAACAAAAATTAGGGCAAAAAGGCTGTAATTAATATTTGATAAAATAAATAAACATGCTTCTGGTGAGAAAAAAAAACCTAAACAGCGCAACTACTGTGGAAAAGTTTGAACGGCTAAAAAGTGTGCTGTAAAAATACTTTGTTTAAAAAAAAAAAAAACACTGGCAGCTCTGGTTTCCAGAAGTTTTTTTATGAATGTATATGTAAATGACACAAAAAATACCAATCTACTTGAGTCCTTAAAATGTTTTGATACTATGCTTTGCTCACACAAAACACAAGTGATACAATGGAATGCCACATGATGTACTAGCATAAAAAAGCCTCTATAGTAACTGTCACCAGTACCAACAGACTGACAAGAGCACAATGTTACCCACGCAAACAAAATACCATTAGGTTAATACACACAATACTAAAATAATGCTTCAAATATGACTGAAGCAACATAAATTGCAACATAAAACACTCCAATGCTCATAATTATCAGAAGAAGAATCTAATATAACTAGAATCTTACAAGAAGAATCTAACTTTTTAAATGACATCTTAACAACTGTGGCTGTGTGCGCATGGGGTCTGGGAATGTTTCTTTCTCAAAAAACATGATTTTATCTATATTTTACCATACACTTTTTTTCCAGCAAATTATAAGGTAATGTATACGTTGCCCTTCTTAAAAAAAATGTGTTGTCTTCTACAATTTTTCACGGTAGGCCTACATGAAGGTAATTCACAATTAAGCAATTAAAAGGGTTTTACTGAATTGTGGCATTTTTATATTATTTTCTCTGTTAAAATAACTTACATTTGAACAGTTAAGCTGCATACGCTTTCATGGGGTAATAGTCGTACCTGAGGATGGAGGATGCGACTCATTGCTCCAGTGTTTTTCAGCAGAAACCGTCAAACAGCACAGCGCTCCTTTGCTCCAGATGCAGCTGTCTGGATGCTCCGTTGCGGGTGACAGACCTGTTTGAAAAACAACAGATATGCACCCCAAGGATGGTCAGGGCAGCACCTACAACTGGAAATAAACGGGTGAATTTTGCGCGCATTTGAGTCGCTGCCTCATTTTCACCCAGTTCCAGATGAGTTATTATTAATACAGGCGCTATATCCTTATTATTTAGGGATTCAAATGTACACTATATCCTCGGTAAATAATCTTCTCTCCGGTTTGATTTCTTAATGTCCTCGGAAGCAGGTGTAAACGGTTTATTCAGACCCGATATCAGTCACGCGCAACACTCAGTGTTCCTGTTAGATATGATAAGCGTTTCAACCTGCACCCCTGCGGCTGGAGCTGAACTTTTCCGAGAGTGCTGCCACTATTTGCTCCGTTTCTTTTCCTTGAAAACACGGCAGATCCTCTTCGCGTTGCCTCCTCACACCGAGAGTGACCCTCTGTTCGTGTCCCATCGGTCAACAGTAGGCTACTGCGTTCACATGAAGCCCCTACATGACAGCGAGGAGGCGTCACTGAGCGCGGATAAGGGAAATAGATGTTCGGATTTTGCGCGCGTGCGGCTAAATGTTGTCCAGTGAGCAGAATGTGACGATAATTGTAAAAAGTCTTGCTGACGCGCGAGTGGAGTTCGCCGGTGCAAACTAACCCGTGCGGTTCCCACGCGGGCTACGCGTCTTCATCCTATCCAGGTTCACTCTCTCGCGTGCGCACAGCAGCAGGCTCAACGCTGAACAGACTTCATAAGGAGTGAGGTCTAATCGAAAGTGAGCATCACTATACCCTGCTCACTCCAAAGGAGGACAGCACTTGACGTGTGTCCTCTGAAGAGCACAGGGCGCATTATCGTCTTATTTAGAACACCATACACAATATCTACCGATGTCACTAGCACTTAATATTCCACCAACGTTGTGCTTAATGGACATAAAAGGTTCTGAATAGCATCGCGTTTACCGACGTTTGAGTCAAATACAGATCAAATTGTGTAAGCTAATGTCGTGTGGCGCTTAAATAACTTCAAAACAAATAAACAAAGAACCATAAAAATATGTAAGCGATATAATAGATATTTGGGTAATCCCTAGCCCACATTAAATATAACATCTATTTATTTAATTTCTTAAAAAGAATCACTAGGATTCTCCAAGAAGCATCACGTGAAAGGACAAAAATTACAGTAGAAGTAAAAATACTGTACGTTCACTTGTTACTAACCAGTCGCGTTCGCGTGAAAAGGTAACCAGTGTTAAGGCAGGGGCCACTTAAGGGGCACCGTTTTCAAATTCGTCTTAGCCTACTTTCAGTAGGCTATTTCAGTCATTCATTCATTGTTCACAAAGTCATGTTTCACTGCATTCTCTATAAGTAAGCTATAACAATTTAAACTCAAATGAATGTTTCATCATGTTTAATTTATCTGACAAATAATTTTGTATTGTAGTGTCAGGGGCGTCGCGTCATGCTTGACATGTGACACAGCAGCCACGATAGCACTGTATATCGTATAGCACTGATATAGGCTTATGTTGTATATATTTTTTTTCTAAAATGTGAGTAAGTTCATGCATTTTGCACCTTAATAGAATATGTTAGTTGATCTATAATGGGCGATGGGCAAAGTAGCATAATAGTAAAAAAATCGCATTATCCGATTAAAGGCATACTGATGCGCAAAACACGATTTAAAAATGCATTTACTTCATATTTTTTTCTTAACTGCATTTGTAACTTAAGTAACGTAATTTAATTGACATTAGTAGGCCTAACTGTAATCACATACATTTAAAAACACATTACATTACTTTGTTATCAGGGAAAGTAATTAGGATACAGTAACGTGTTACACATTATACCCAACTCTGGAGGTAACCATAGCAATACCTCTAGAGCGAACATATCAATGAACGTGACAAGTCATTGTTTGCGATTAATAATATATTTAAAATTAGTGCTTTGTTTAAAATGCAAATTTCGACTTTATCTAATTATGCAAATAACAAATTGGGTTGCTTGAGACACAGATTATAAAGAACTGAAAAATAACCTTTATAAAAATTATTTCATACCACCCCGAAAATGGGTTTCATTTGCGATTAATAGGGTCATAGGATGCGATTAAAATTTTTCCTTTCTTAAAGTCTCAAATCCAAAGAGATATTCTTTATAAAAGTTAAGAGTCAACCACACCTACCTAAAACGGCTCGTTCGAACACGCCCCCACATGTCTACCTCACGATGTCGGAAGATTTGCATAACGCCGCCCAAATATTCACGCAAAGAAAGAAGGCATAACTTTTATTCTCGCTTGTTGCTGCTGCCGCCATGTCGTGAAGGCGCTGTGTGTTTTGTTGTGAAAGCGAAACTACTTTGTTTGGTCTTCCAAAAGAGGACGATATCTGCTTCGTCATGCCTGGAGCTGATCCGTGCTGGTCACTGAGGAAATACATCAATTTCGCGCTGTGGATCGCCGGATCGGCTTTCACCATGGACGAAGCGGAGTCCAGCCCGGGGTCGTCATATGTGGTTGACGCAAACCGGCCTCCGCTCACTCAAGCCCGCCGTGTGTTTCGTTGTGAAAGCGAAACTACTTTATTTGGCATTCCAAAAGAGGACACGACTAGAAATCAGTGGTTAAGTTGTATTTACAACACTGTTCCAGAACAGTTCAACCCAAATATTCAGATGTGTGCAACGCATTTTATGGAGGACTGTTTCCTCATCCTGGTAAAGTAGACTACAATGCCGGCTGTTCTTACTCACAGTCTGTAAGTACGTTTTTTTATATTTAAAGGATTTGCCACTGACACATGACACGCGAGTTTTGAGCAGTGTAGAGTAGTGCTTTTTGTTTGTCATTTCTCCGATCACAAATGCAGACATGGTTTTATGGTTACGCGGCACGATGCAACGGGCCAGACAAACGATGTCCGGCCGGGACACGGCATGACAGTATGGTAGGGGCGTAAAATTTCCGTCATACGCTTGAGGTATTCGGCCAATCACAACGCACTAGATAGCTGGCCAATCACAGCACACCTCGCTTTTCAGACCGATGATCTTTGTAAAAATCGACGCGTTTCAGAAAGGCGGGGCATAGAGGAGAAACAATAATGTACAGTATGTGGAAAATAATGTGTTTTTTGAACCTTAAACCGCATAAACACATTTCATCACACCAAATACACAAAATAATGTTCTTTTTAGCAACATCATATGACCCCTCTAATATCAAGGCATTACAGAGGCGCTGCTAGGAGTTACATAATACCTCATTCTCTGTGCTTTGATCAAATGGTGTTTATTTGTCATTTGTCATGCAAAAATTTTAAATTAATGGCAAATCTTTGATATGCAGTTTTTTTTCTTTTCTTTTTTTTAGAATGTTGGAATAAAGAGTGACAATGAATATTATAATTTGTCTCTCATTCTTAGGTAAAAAAAATTAAAATAAAAACGTGGAGAGGAGAGTTCTTGGAAGCATAAAAGACTCCATTCATAAGAAAACATTAAATATAAATGTATTTTATAACCAATTATATTCTACTGGAGCTCAATTTAATTATCAGTTCTGCAGTATCCTAATTTTGTTTTTTAAATTTCTTAAAATCTCCTAACACCTGTTATCAACGATCTCTCACAATAACAACTATAACTTGCAATTTAAAGTAGACAGAATCAGCAAATACATACATCTGTTCTTTTTTTGTTTTTAAGTTCAGTATTGTTTGTGCTACTGACCACTCTTGTCTAAAGGTGACAGCACTGCAAATCCTTCTCATGTATTTCCAGACACTGTCCTCTTTCTAGATTTAACTGTGTTCTCAGTGTCAGGTGTCACAGGAGCACAGGAAGCCCTGGACAAAGGTGTCGAAAAGAAAACTGGCTACATTCAATCATTCTCCCCATCTCATTAATATGATTGTTCATCCTGGTTGCTTTAGGAAAATATAAAAAAAATGCGTTAACCTCCACAAGCTGATCTAAGGAGAGATATGGATGATTCAGCTTGTTTCACGTTATTAAAATTGTTATGAGAGTGTTGACATGAACGTCTACTTTTAATATAAAAAGCTGTATTACAAGATTGCTTTTTAAAACTTAAAATAGTTGTTTGTTGTTCCAAATCTGTATGCCTTTTTTTCTTTTGTGGAACAAACAGTTTTTGTCCATACAATGAAAGTCACTGAGATCCAAACAACATTGAATGAATGAATGAATGAATGAATGAATGAATGAATGAATGAATGAATGAAATGATAATGATAATGATAATATTTTTTGGGTTAACTATTTCTTTAACCTCAGCTGCAACATAATTTAGCAATGGTTTAAATAATAACATTCAAGGTTAGGCAGAATATTAAGTATACAAAAGAAATGAAAAGTATTTTTTTCATTATTATTTTTTGAATATAATATTGTCTGCCGTCTATATACATCTCGTCATGATGTCAGAATTTATTTTTCTCTTCCACACTTTCATAGAGAACCATTCATGATGAAACCATTTATTACCACAACACCTGCTGTGGCATACGTATCATTTTACTTTATGGCATGCTGTCTGCTCACCCGTGACATTGACATCCGTTTTGATGGCACACGGTGCACTTTTCTATATGGCGCACGTGACTCATTCATTTCGTCACTAATCGTAACTGGGGAATTTTTTAACAGAGACGAAATGGTAAGGGTGATCTTGTCTTCCCAAAGGGAATTGGCTTTTTTGGCAGAACTGAATTTAAAAGCAAGCTCTAAAAGCAAGAGGAATAAACATTAATAAAGTATGCGCTTATGCACTTGACAAGATCAGATTCTGTTTTCCTTTTAGGCTTGGAAATGGAAATGAGAGTTCTTCTCCTTGTAATAGGCTGGGGAGTGATTCCCCTTATATCCATTACATTTATCATTTATTTAGGAAATTAATCGACCCATGCACTGGTAATCGGTTGAGTACAGTGTAGATATGTTAAAAGAAAACCTCCCCTGGAATAGCCTGTTTCATTTTCAGTCTAAATATAACAGCCTAATTTGATGCTGGGCATTTTTATGGCTTCAGGGATTGTTATGTTTACATCGCTGCTAATTTCAGAGAAGAGAAAGAGGATGACATCATTAACTCTCTTCCTAAAAGTCAAAGGTCAAGGGCATGAAAGTAATATTCAATGTCCTCAGACTTCTGGTTAAAAGTTTGAGTCATTCTGGCTACACACACTCGTTCCCAAAGCGTCTCGACGCAGCTCAAGTTCCTGAAGGGGAACGTCTCTATGTTACGTATGTAACCATGGTTTCCCGAGGGAACGAGACGCTGCGTCTCTTTGCCATACTCCCTGCATCCCTGCAGGCGCTACTTCATCGAAGCTGGTTTGCGCCCGGCCGGATGTGCCTTTATGCTTTCTGGTGCTTACGTCACCCTGCTCGTGACGTCTCGCTGCTCCATTGGACGGATTTGACACGTGCTTCAGAACGCGGTCACGCAAGGGCGTTCCCAAAGCGACTCAACGCAGCGTCTCGTTCCCTCGGGGAACCATGGTTACATACGTAACCTAGAGACGTTCTAACTGTTCTAACTGTTCTAACACCACCCAACAGATTTTCCGAAATAGAAATAATACATAGACTGTGACTCATGTGTCATGTGGATATGCTCAGTTGTCTCAGTTTTCAGCATGAGAATGATATCTGTAGGTCTCTGAGTCGAGCTATAATGACAGGCTCCAAACACTTACGC